GGTTGTCAGTCAAAATGACAGTTCTTGCAACATAGGCCTATATATACCCAAGCCAATTTATTATTCTTTCCTTTCTTTCTTAGTGTTTAAAATATTTATTTTGAAACGAATTAATTAATTTCTTAATTAAACAAACACTTACTGGGTGAGCAGGGTAGGCTATGCCCAGCTGATGCAAAGAATAGAATTTATATCTACACAGAAGAAAGCCCTGTCTAGACTCTGCCCCGGTACGAGTTGTGTCGAGCTATTCATTAGCCTGTTTGTTTGATGAAAAAAGATGAAATGTAGTTGCAATAAATGTGTTAAGAATCCATACAACTGCAGCAGCAGAGGACTATTATTCTGCTGCGTGATACTGCAGAAGAACTGATGATGGCACGGTTTGATCTTCGGTTGACCAATCAGCAGAAAGGGGCGTTTAATTCCCACCCACATGTAGAAATCGAATATTCAAGCTGTTTATTAATTGTTCCACCCATGAACGAAAAACGAAAATTTAAGCTGAATTCTCGTTTTTCGGAAAAAAACTAAAAAGGAATTTAGTTTTCAAATTTTTCTACTTTCAATATTAAATAAAAAAAACGAATGATCGAATGATACACGGATTGGAAAACTACGCTAAATCCGATCTGAGCGGTCAGACTGAAACGGATTTCCAGTAATGCGATTTGAATAGGATTCCAAACCCCATACGAATGTAGCTCGAAACGGATTTGCACAAATCGGATTCCATGTAGTTCGTTGCCGTTCAGACTTTTATCTAAACATGATCAGATTTCAATTGGATTTGCGCAGTTTGGGCTGACAGTCTGAACAAGACTTAAATAGACTTATTTTAAAAATCTAATCAAACGGTAGTGTGTATATTTAAACGTGTACTATAAACCGTGGAAGCTTTTAAAAAAAAATGTTTTATAGTTCAGTAAATTGTGACAGTACATACTGTACATACAGTACATACTTTTCACACCTCTTACTGTGCATACTGACTAATTACACCACAAAAATGCATTTCTACAATATAGATGTCTTGATGCTTACTTGGTAACTCCATTCTCCTGATATGTGGTCCTGTAGAAACCAACCAGAGAGCCGTTGAGCCAGCCCTGGAAGTGTAGAGTGAGGACGTAGTGCTCGTCTGGGCCAGTGACACTCAGCTGCTCGGCCACCTCCACAACCACATACTCCTGCGGCTTGTACTCAAAGCATTCCTTCACCCCAACAGAGGTCAAGCCGGACAGGCCGCTGCGCTGTAGAGAGGGCACGGCAGTGACAAAAGTCTCTCGGATGTGGAGCCACAGGTGCTGACTGGGCTGCGTCAGGGTCAGATGGATGGACACGCTCCCGGTGTAGATGTCTGTGTCGAGGTCGGGCTCCAGATGCAGATCGTAATGGAAGGGTACCATGTAGTCAGGTAAGCGGAAGTTGTTCCAGCCGCCGTTTGTGTTGTTGGATGGTTTACAGGGACCCCGGTCATCTGGCGGCATTGTAGGTAACGGTGTTGTGGGTGATGGTGTTGGTTTGGTTTCATCTTCGGATGAGGAGGTCTTCTGGCTCAAACCAACTCCGAGCCCCACGGCAACACCTGTCACGATGACGACGGCGCAGATGATAGCAGCATGCTTGCCTCGGATAAAGTACCGTTTTTCCTTCTTTTCGAATTCCAGGCTTTCCATGGCGAGCCGTCAAAAACAGACTCAAAGTCAGGATGTGTACAGCACTCAAAGTTCAGAAAGTCCGAACTCTCTCTCCCGGTGAACCCAGACACACACACACAAACACACACTTTTATCCTTACACTTCCTTTTGACTCCAAAGAGAGAAAACAGCTGTGTCTGGATTCCCAAATGTGTGGACATATGCAGACCAGCACACACTCACGCAGGGCAGCCTGTGGGAGACACAGAGGTTAAAGCAGGAGTTAAGTTTCACCACAGTCTAAAAAATTGCTCTGATCTCTGTAAGGTCACATCCATGCAGTTGTCAAAACGTCTACGCCGGGACGTGATCCTTAAGCTATAGTGTGGCAAGTCCTCACTCACCAAATCTCACACTGATAACGGTGATACATAGTGGGCAGGGGGTGAATTTGTACCGCCCTTTAGTTAAACATAAATCAAAATATGTTAATAAGCAGTCGAAGGGGAATGATCACAAACAAGCATCAGAGAGAGAAATGTGGGGGAGGGAGGCATAGGTAAGCAGAGTAAAAATGGAAGGAGTTATTATGAGGAGAGGAAGGGGCTTATGGGAGAAAACAGGGGAATGTTACAAAGCTTTTTTTAAGTGGCTAAAGAAATTACATCCAGAATTGAAAATGTTAATTATGAACAATTTTGTCAGACATTAAAGGCTACAACAACTTTAAGTGGAGCTTTAATCACAACATCTTACATTTAAGTCAAGTCATTTAAAGTGACAAATGTCTACTAATCATGTGATTATTAGTTTAAACTTTAGATCACATGCACGGTTTCTTCCTGAATGCAGTTTTATGTAATCGATTATAATAGATGTTTGATTAGAAAAAAGTCTCTAAAGCTCAGGTTAACCATTTTTAAACATCCATACACAGCGAGCAAGGAAATTGTTTGTAAATCCTTTAGAATAGAGGTGCAAAACTTTTTATTCTGTGTAAAAAATTATTTAAATAAAAGAAAGATTATTGATTAAGATTATTATTATTGGAGTACGTAAGAAAATACTATTTTAGTATTTCTAGAAAATGTTATGTTTAATTCAATGTGTCCGTTGTCATTTCTTTGTAATTATTTGTGAAATTTAATAGCAATAGAGTGAATTATTTTTTTTTCTGTGTACGAAGGGCCAAAATTCAAACCTGATTGAGGGCTGTGGGCTGAAAGTAAATGTTGCTTTATATCCAATCATATTTTATTAAAATTGACATTTATTAAAATCAAATTAACTTCTAAAAAAGTTACAACAAAAACATAGTAGAAATGATAATATGCTTCTCTGACAAGTTTTTTTCCCCCTAATACCCCCCCCTTAGGGCATGCCAGGCCAAAACAAGGAGCATCACAGGCCAACTTTGGCATCTGTGCATCAATATAACATTTTAAAGTGAAAATTTGGATAATTATACTTTGGTAATTTGAGCCAGATGTTACTATTTATTGTAGACCTTTTCTAAAAAAAAACATTACAAAAACTGACTATTGCAATCTTGGTGTTGTAGCACTTAGTGCTTTGAGGCTGCTCAGGGCGAATTCTTAATAAACCCACATAGTTTCCCATCATGAATATGGTGTCATATTTTACAGGACTAAAATATGACACCATATTCTGGTGTCATATTCATGTGCTGAAATCAGACTTGGATTTTTTTTTTATAGGAGGGCAGCAATGTAGATATGAAAGAATACGTTATCATCAACGTATTAGTTATCATAATCATACATAATTTGTTATCATCAGTTTGTGAGAAACCTTTATGGTAAAAGGTAAATAATGAGTGGGAACAATGGTGCTATAAATGTTTTATCTGGGTGTATCAATATTTGAGAAAGATAGGAAGCTGTTACAGCTGTTAAGATGCATAAGCTCTCACTGAATTTTATTCTTCTTCTATTTGACTCAATATAAATGCCATTTCATAAGAAATTAGGTTAGAAAAAGGGTAATCTTGGCCCTTGGTTACTGTAACACAATGTGTTAGCTCAGAGCTGCCATCTGGTGGTCATGGCTAAGTAAAAAAAAAACCCTGTCAACTGAGGAAATATACACAAAGTTATGGTCATTCATATGAAAAAAGAAACTTATAATTTGAATGTTTCAGGTGTGAATTGACATGGAGACAATAGATTTTTGTCTTCTGTGCAGTGGATTTTCAGAAGCAATCAAAAAGTGTCTCTGTGGCAGGTTCTGTACAGCTGTCCTGTCCCTTTTCATTTTGTCTCGTTATGTTGCGGTCTAGTTATGTTTCGAGGTAACAAAGAAGGTATCGCCTTGGATTTCTGGTTGGGTTTCCTCTTTGTGTAGTTTGATTTTGCAGCTGTTTGCTGTTGGTCAGAGTTTTTGGAGTCTGCATATTCAGCCATTACCCCGACCACATTCAGACTGACAACGGCCCCTGATATCCCTGCCATGTTTTGCGCTCTCTACTCCCCTGCGTCTCTGTAGGATATTCCATTCAGACTGACTGCCGACCAGCGGATTCCCACACGTGGAGATTCTTGTAGCTTGTATTCTTGTATCTGCAGGCATGTGATCAGACATTGAATCAAATGAATGAAGATGACACTCACTTACGTGATCGTTTACTAGCTCATAAATTTGTAAAACATTTGCACCAGTGTGCTTGGTAAGGTAATATTTAAACACAAAGGTTTAAAACCATGTACAATACAACTAAAAAGATAATTATTTTAACTGTAAATTTCTAATGGTAACTTACAGCCAGAAGGTTTTCTGGGCAATCTTTCAGTGTCTATGCTGCTTTGCATCTGCTTACAACAACCTTAAAATAAAGGAGAATATACAGTGGAGACCAGAATTCAGAGATCATCAGTTAAATTAAAGTAATTTATTCATTTAAAAATATATATTTTTTATTATATTCATGTCTAATCAGCATAACAATTTGAGTGAAACGTTTAACTGAAAAATCTACAAATTTTTGAAAGTATTAAATTAAATATCTAATATTTATATTTTATTTATTTTAGTTTTATTTCAATAAATAATTTTAATACAAAAATTCATTGGTTTTATTTAACAATAATTATTCATATACTACTATTAATATGTTTAATACACTCTTAAAAATAAAGGTGCTTCAAAAGGTTCTTCAAGCGATGCCATAGACGAACCATTTTTGGTTCCACAAAGAACCATTCAGTCAAAGGTTCTTTAAAGAACCATCTCTTTCTTACCTTTTTGTAATCTGAAGAACCTTCTTTCGCCACAAAGAAGCTTTTGTGAAACAGAAAGGTTCTTCAGATGTTAACGGTTCTTTATGGAACCATTTAGACAAAAAGGTTCTTCTATGGCATCGTGAAGCACCTTTATTTTTAAGAGTTGCCAAAGCAACATTCTGATTTTCCTTTAGATTTTTAATATATATATATATATATATAATTATTTTAATTTAAAAAATAATTTTAGTTAACAATAACAACACTGGTGTGTATGATAATATATGCCACATGAGTGTATAATAAGATACCTTGGTTATAAAGGTTGGGTCTGGCAGATTTGATCCACATAAGTGTTGGGGTTGGGTGTCCTGTAGCATCACAGTGAAGAAGGACATTGCTACCCAGTAGATGTGATCTTGGTGGCAGAGGTCACCACGTAGGGCCTGCGGCAGCGAGTGAGCTCCACGCTCTGAAAGGGAACTCCAGCAAGATCCAGCGGTTCACTACAGGTCAGGAAGCGATCCAACAGGACCAGGGAAGTTTCTGGGGCTTTACTAATGCCAAGCAAAGTGGAAAGCCTACAGTCACACACCCAGGGGTTGTCCTGGAGACCTATGGGAGAGATGAAATGGGTGAGAGAGGGTAATGATGACACATTGAGTCTTCAGAGGTGTGCACTGATTACATAACCTGTTCTCTGCAGCATGACTGGACTAATCAGAGTACAGGGCTTTGGTTTCCACTGGAAGAACGCAGTGAGCCATCAAAAGGCTGAAGACTCTCAGATTGCACTTAGATATCACGTATGTCTGTGTGAACCAGTCAGGTTGGATAAATATTTAATTACCATACTTTATTTGGTTTCGCTGACTTTGGCAGTGTCTGTGTGCATGTGTGTGGAACAATTTGTCTAGTAGTTTCATGAGAGCCAATCGAGGTGTGTTACTGGATTATGTGCTATGTGTTATGTGCTAAAAACATCTTCCTATTTATCTTGGCTCACTAAAAACAGCAGGACACAAATGTCAGAAATCACACAGAAAATCTTGGCGAAAGTCAGTGGTCACCGAAACTGTCCATTTTCCAACATTTTTTGAATTATTTTCATTTTCTGCAGAAGAAAGCAAGTCAGACAAGCTTGGAATGACATGAAGATGAGTAAATGATGACAGAATTTTAAATTTTTTTTTAGGTTATAGGATATTGGAAACGTTAAAAACAAAGAAACGTTATGATGTAAAATGAATGAGAAATAGTTAAAAATCAGTTTAAATGAAATACAATTTTTTTATTATTATTCTAAGTATTATACAAATAATATAGTATATAATGTATAATATAATAAAGTTTCACTGTAAAAAAAAATTAACTGAAAAAAAAAAGTCAAACTTTTGAACCCAACTGTTTACTGTCTTCATTTTAGTTATGATCCTACAACCTAACAAATGATCTATAGCAGAGATCCACTTTCCTGCAGAGTTTAGCTCTAACCCTAATCAAACACACCTGAGCATGCTAATCAGTGTCTTCAGGATCATTAGAAAATCCCAGGTAGCTGAGTTTGATCAGGGTTGGAGCTAAACTCTGCAGCGCATTGGACCTCCAGGGTAAGATTTGAGGAACCCTGATCTATAGTGTGGTGTTTCACCTAGAACCACCGAGCGCTGAGTCTGAGTGCTATCACTGAACGGCCAGAGAGCAGTCAGATCGTTGGGCAGGGTGCTCGGCCTGTTGCTCGAGAGGTCCAGGCAAGTCATTGGCAAGGTAACGCGCAGCCAGGGGTGGGATTCGTGCCAGGCGGTTATTGTGTAGTCCACGTGTTCGAAGGCGGGGCACATCCCCGAGTCCCTCCCAGGGGAAGGTGGACAGGAGGTACCCATCCAATCGTAACTCATGAAGGAATAAATAAATATGACATAGCCTATATTACATGCCATTTAACACACGGTTGTCTACATGAGTGTTGCCACAGCCTGTTCATATACAGCATCCCAACACTAAGTAGCTTCACATTAAGGTTGTAAAATTAATCAATTATGAAAATTTCACCTGTAAAGCAGCTCTACAAAAGATAATAGTGTCATTATTCAGCTCAATTTCGTTTAATATTTAATTCAATTCAACAGCTCTGTCAATGTGGCAAAGTTCATCATTTATGAAACAAGTTCAATTCAGCTAATGTCAGTGTCTGTCAGTAATGAGCAATACTGCACAACTTATAGCGATCACGAAGAATGTCCTTATTCTGTCCCAAACGTGTACAGTAAAGTGGATATAGGCCGACAGTATACAACGCCCCATCAGTTATATTCAGGTCTATAGTGCCACCTGTTGGCGCAGTTGTGTAACTTAGAGAACATCTTATGTCGAGATCACG